TATACTCTCTAGTAGCTTCACAAAGAGGTCATTGATATTGAGATTAAAAATAGTCCTTTTAGCATTACAGCCTTTAAAGCCCCTGGACCAGATGGGCTACAATCCCATTTTTTCCATAAACAATAGAATCTAGTTGGGTGAAAAATTTGCTCCTGGTCAAAGAGATCTTTCTTACTCCAAAAAAAATAAGGGATATAAATGACACAACCATTGTGCTCATCCCTAAAGTGGACCACCCCACAAATATGAAAGAAATGAGACCCATTTCCTTGTGCAATGTGGGTTTGAAGATTGTCATGAAGCTCATCACTAACAGGCTTAAACCGACTCTTAATCACCTCATCCAGCAAGAGTAATTAGCTTCATAATTGGAAGACAAAACAGTGATAATATAATTATAGCCAAAGAGGCTATACACACTATGAGGAATAAAAGGAAAGGTAAGGGTTACATGGCTATAAAAGTGGATCTCAAGAAAGCCTATGACAGACTTAACTGGGACCTTATTGAGGACACTCTAATCAAAATTGGCATAAATGGAAGTCTTCTTAAAGTCATAATGGCTAGTGTCTCTTCTCCTAAAATGAAAGTCTTATGGAATGGTGCAACTTTTGAGGACTTTAAACCTTCAAGAGGTTTGAGACAAGGGGACCCACTTAGTTTAAATCTTTTTATCCTCTGTATGGAAAGATTTGGCCATCTCATTAAGCTCAAGTATAGAAGAAAGGAATGGAAACCTTTAAAACTTTCAAATAGAGGCCCTTTTCTTTCATATATATTTTAGTTGACAACTTGGTTCTCTTTATAGAAGCATCAAATCAACAAGTTGAGCTTTCTCAAAGATGTTATGAGCTCCTTTTGTGGTACATCTGGTCATAGAATGAATATCTCAAAGACAAAAATGTTTTGCTCTCCTAACATTCATATAAACAATTCCTTGGAAATTAGTAGAACTTTAGATATCTCCCTTTCAAGAGATTTGGGAAAATACTAGGGTATCCTTATTATCCACAAAAGACTAACAAGGTAACTTTTAGACCAATCATCCACAAAGTATAGAAGCACCTTTCTAACTGGAAAGGGAAGTATCTCACTATGGCTGGGCGTACTGTGCTCATTAAATTTATCATTTTAGCCTTTCCTAGCTACTGGATGCAAATAATGATTCTCCCTAAAGGCATTCTTTCTTACATTAAAAAAAATAAGCAGGAATTTCCTTTGGAACAGCTCACAGGAGAAAAAGAAAATGCATTTGATTATCTGGGATAAGATTAAACAAGAGAGGGAAGAATGAGGCCTAAAGCATAAAAGACCTTAAATCCTAAAACGAAGCCTTTATCATGAAATTGTGCTGGGGTTTGCTTACAAAATTGAACTCTCTATGGGTCAAATGCTTGAAGTTAAAGTACAAATGTGGTAAGGGAGAGGAGCCCATGGTTACCTATAGAAAAAATGCCTCACATCTCGAAAGGCATTACTAAAATTCGAGAAACCTTCCTTAAGGGTGTCAGGAAGAAAGTGAACAATAGGAGATCTATAAATTTTTGGTGGGATTGTTGGACTAATTTGAAGCAACCTCTTATCTCTTACATTCAAGCTAATAAAGAACACGTCCAGAAGAATGCTAAGGTATGCGACTTTGCTCTTCCCTTAAGAGTTTGGGACTTAGATCAATGGCAAAACATTCTTTCTACTAGGGTGATTAGACACTTATGCCAAATTAACCCCCTATCCGGCAATAGGGAGGATGGCTTTGTTTGGAATTGCAATACTGATGGGAGCTTTTCTATTCATAGTACCTATAAGTTCATTAGGAATCACTCTGTTAACTGGAATGGATAAGTTCTGAAACAAACTCTGGAAATTACAAATTCTAAAAAAACATAAATTCTTCCTTTGGCAAGCTTTTCAAGATAGAATTCTCACAAACCATTTGAGAGCTCTGAGAAATCTTACCACTTATAATACCTATCCCTATGAATGTCAAAGTGAGGAAACTATAGTTCATTTTTGAGAGACTATAAAGTTGCTCGTGAGGTGTGGGAGAAGTAGAGCCAGTAATTCAAGCGGGGCGGGCTTATTTAAGTCAAGCTTAATTCAGGCCGAGCTTATTTGGATCGAGCTGAAAGTATCGTACTCTCTCAAAAAATTCCACATAGCTAAGCTTGACCTTAACCTTTTTTGGGCGGGTTAGGGCTGACCCGAATTACCAGCTCTAGAGAGAAATGTATTAATCCTAACTATATTTTAAAATTATTCTCTTTATCTATGCAGGACTGGCTTTGATAGAATCTACAACACAACATTAGGAAGGGATTACTTATTCACTGGCCTTAAGGAAATGTGTTTACTCAAGTTTGTTGGTGCCTCTAGTGTGCATGTTTTAATTTCATCTTTGAAAATAAACCAGTTCACACACAACAAATCATCTACCACAGCAGACAAGCCTTGTGGGAGAATGACTTAGCACGACATCATCAACAACGGGTTTTTAATGTTGCAATGCCTAAGGAAACAACATGGAAAGCTCCAGAAAGTGGTCTTTTACGTCTTGATGTGGATGGTTCAAGAAATGAGGCTGGCTTCATTGCATGTGCAGTCCTTCGAGATTCATTGGGGTCTTGGATATTGGGTTTCCAAAAAAATATTGGGCTCGAAAGTAATATGGAAGCAGAACTCAGCAATCAAAACAGGACTAGAATTATGCCTGGAATAGGGTTTCTTTGCATTTAAAATATATACTGACTCATTAGAAGGTATTCAACTCCTTATGAATGAAAACAGACAGCAACACCCTCTATAGGAGACAATTTAAGAAATTAGATCTCTCATTTGCCAAGAAAAGGATATCTCTATCCAGTATGGACCACGAAGCACGATAGGATATGCTGACCTATTGGTAAGGAATGATTACTCAACTGGAAACAACACTTGTGTGCTGGATACTAATCCTCTTTTTTGTCAGGAGCAAGTAAGGAGAGATAAAGGAGTCTAACCTTTAGATTGCTCCAGCTAGTTTTCTTTCAAGTTGTACTTGCCTTTTAATTATTTTAAAAAAAAAATTATCCCGTAGGCATACTTCTTTGGATTTGATGCATGTTCCACAAGGTTCAGCCACACCATACGCGCGTCACACCAAACCCTTTATGCAGAGCCGTTATAAGGGTTTGGATGCTACCTTGAGGATCCAGATCAATTCCTTTTGAAACCGGCACTTGAACAGTACGCCCACAATGGTGAAGTTTTTGGAATTGCCACAACGGACCATTGTCTTGTTCGAAGAAGACCAACTTTCCAAAATCAGTGTAAGACAAATGCTGGCATGTGAAGTTATTGCCGCCAATCGAAATGTCTTGGGGGCAATTGTAGAATAGGGTCACCATCTTCACGCTTGGATCAATATTGTAACGGCTGCTCAAGGTAGTGTTGGATAATTCTGAAGAACAATTGTCATGCACAAGGTTAGTTTGCACGAATGTCATGTTGTAAGTGACTTGGTCAATCGATCTGATCTCGAAATTCTAGTAACCAATTTGAATGGAAGGGAGTGCATCCTTCCTTTTCCGTACAATTGAGCCAGAACCCTTAAAAGTTGGGAAGAGGATAAGAATAAGGATGTCGATCTTGGGACAAGAAAGGATAACTAAAATTTAGTTTTCCACACTTCAAAGGAGAATAGCAGTCCCAATATGCATTGTCTAGTTGAGACAGGGAAAGTGGGAACGAGGAAAGGAAGAAGAAGGAAAAGCTGATGAAGGAGGTGAGCAACGAGCTATAGGCTTCCATTGTAAACTCTCCGCTTTATGGCATCAAGTTGATTCATCTTCTGGTTTTTTAGGAAGAAACCACAATGCTAATGCTCTATACTTGAACACTTGAAAAATAAAATGAACAGTCATGGCCACCAAAATCAGGAAAGAGCCGCTCACTTTCCCCATCTCTGTTTTCAAACTACGTTGAAAATGGCCCTACTTTTTAAGTACTCCTCATAATGAAAATCTAGCTGATAGTAATGATGCCATGTCGGCTAAATTACGTATGCCAAAATGAAAAGCTCCCAGGCCCTATTGACTAGCATTTCGTAGTTGAAGGACTCACTAGACAAGTATAATGAACCTGTGGAAACTGGAAAGTCCCAGTTGCTCTGTTTGCCTAAAAATTCCCGACTCTAATAAGTGAAGATAATAAATATTACTTTAACCCTGAGAATTTAGGTTTCTATTTTTCTTATTCCAGACTTGCTCTTTTCCCACGATCAAAGTACAGAAGGCAGATCAGTAACTGGAGGAAACACGGCTATCAAGTTTCTGTTTAGTTACAACAACACCAAACGATCATAGATCTTTTATTTTTTTTTTTAATAATTAACAACTTTCTAATTATCTCAAGGCTTTCCAACATGGTTGGGCTTGGATATAAATATTCCTAATGAACAAGGTGAAGGTGAAATAATGAATGAACTCAAGCGTGAATGAATCAGGAGTGCTTTGCAGCTTCTGATACTGTTCATGGGAGGGTTCTCAGATCATATATGGTTCCCTGTTGGAAACTTACTTGGAGTTTTGAGAAAACCAAACTGCGTAATCTTTTTCCCTAGGGATCTCTGAACCAGCTCGATGTAACAAACAAAGAAGTCAAGGTGACAGGAACAGAACACTAATGCGAATCAGCAATGCATTGTGTAGACTACTGGAAACATATTTCGGAAAGCGAAGAAGATTAATTTAATATTTTTATCAGTTTTTGTTTTTGAAGAGACAACACACTATTTTCCCCGAAGATATGAAAGTAAATGTTTTCTTTTATACTACTATAAAGATTTAAGTTCATATTTTGGTGCGACCTAATACGCGGTGCCAACAAAAATTTAACACACACCCGCCTCTTCTTTTATAATTTATTTTTCTCACGCCACCATCCAAACAACTTAGGATATCATCAGTTAGTGAAGCGGCACAAGAATCAAACTCAAACTAGAAGCTGGGAAGAAGAAGACTTACTCTGTTGATGGAGCAAGGGTGCTTGTGTTGGTGTTCCTAGCAATAGGTCAGGAACGCAAACCCCATAATTACTTTGATTGGGACAGAAACATGTAAACTCGTCCAAACTTATGTTGTACCCACATCTTCCACCTGAAATTCTTCAATTATTACACAGCCCTTCTTCTGTCAGTTCCCATTTAACCTCAAAACCTTGATTTATCACATCACCAGGCCCTATGGCGTCCTCCATGAATCTTGTCGCGCCGCCACCCCAAGAACAGGCACTGTAATACTAACTCTGCATCCCAGAGCACTCGAATTAAACCATTTCTCGCTGATCAGCAAAAAGTATGCTTCGCTGGGATAACCTTTTGCGGGGCAATCAAATCCCAAAGAAGTTGACAGATTCACAGGAGGAGGCTTAGATACTAAAGGGTCGCAGTTTATAAACAAGGTGGAATTTACATCATTGGAAGTGTAGTTAAATAGAGCATAATCCAACGTGAAGTTGTAGAATTCATTGGGACACATGGTGCCCCACAAATCCTTCTTCTATTGTAAGAGTTCTTGTGGTTGAATTAACACCGATGACACCAAAATCCTGGGACGCCATGTTGATGGTAGCATTGTCCCCTTGACAATTAATCTTGAACTTTGGATGCCCACAATACTCCGGCCGTGAATTGAGCCAGAATGGGTAATGCAGGTTGGTGATGTTTCCGCAGGTAAACGGCTCGCAGGCCAAGAAGGGTTCATCAGCAATGGCGAAATATGGTGGGAGGAAGAGAACGAAGAAGAGAAGTACAGAGGGACACCCATGTACGGTTCGATTGCGAAGAAGGCCTTGGAGTGGCTAATATCCAATGACAACCCAAGGGAATACAAAGCAAAAGTCAAACCGAAAATCCTTCAGGTAATGAGGCTAATGGCTTACTCTAACATGGGTTTGATAACTTGAAGGGCGCATGAATTGGTGACATTTCAGATGTTAGCTTTCCACCTACTGATTTGGATT